CAGTTCATAAGACACTGAAGCTGCTGGTGCCCTTGAAGCAAACTCTTTGGGTCACCAAATGGTGCAGTGGAACCGTCTAGCTGCCAAATTTACTGTGCCCAGTGTTCACAGTCGCTGGTTTTCTTTGAGATTTATGGTGCGTTCCCACCAGCCCTGTTCAGTCCAATTTGATCCAGTTCCTATTTGTCTACAGCGTCCAGTTTGTTTGTCTGATGGAGACCAAACAGCAAACACAAACCTCAGTCTGGGTTGGGTTCAAGTGAACACTGGTTCGGTTCGAATGCAAATGTGAACGCCAGTTGAACTGGAGACAGAAAGTGGACTAAACGCAGGGCATTCTCAGTCAACAGAAACCCAACAACCAAAACAAACGCATTAGCCTAGCACCAGCAGGAGAAATGACTCATATACTTTAACTAAAGATAAAAGAGAAATTCTACAACTGCTAAAATTTGATGCCACTCCATTTTTGTTTACATTTGGTGAAGAAGGAAGTTGCGCTCAGTTTCTTCAGAGGTTTTAGTGTTGTTTCTTTCAGTGGTTTTTGGTGCAGTGCCCCCACAGGTGAAGAGGGGAACAGGTTTGACACAGTTCAGTGTGAAAGAGAACCACAGCAACTTTGGTCCCAAGTTGAACTAAGTCTACCAGACTATCAGGTGTGAAAACACACGTAGAAGATCTGAGTACTCGTTTTTGCCATGTTTGTAACAATGGTGGTTAGAAACATTTCAAGTGTGAACAATGGTAGTTTTTCACGTAAAGAATCTTCAAGTTTCTTAAAGTTCTTAATACATCGAACACATCTGGTTTTGCTGCACCTTTGGCTTGCTTTCAGGTGAATAAAATAGTAGTCAGCACATTAGCTGCATTTGCCCGGGAGCTCTTGTTTTGCTAACACTAAAAAAAGTGCGAAGGGGAAACAGAACTGTTGTGTAAACGGACTTCAAAATAAGAGCCTGAATGTGCATAAACTTCAGATGTCAAACTTTGTTCAACTTAAAGTTTACAAAGACAGCCAAATAAATTATATCTATTCAATTAATTGTTTTTAATTAATTATTATAGATAAAATAAAATCAAAATGTCATAAAAACGGTGCAAAGTAGTTGTGTTGTAGGAGAAGCTAAGTGTGCTAAACATTTTCAAAGTTAACAAACTTGGTCTAAAGCCGAATTAAAATAAAAAATTCTGTCAAAGTTAACATAATTCTCTGCATTTATGCTGGTTTACCACAACAAAAATATCACACTGAAATACTTTAAAGAGGTGTTAATACTTCTGCATTTACATCTGAAGTAAATGCATCTTCTGTTTAATGATAAACTGTTCTGATGTGAGATGGACTTTCTTCAGCACCGAGATCCTGGAATAGTTCAGAATAAGGCTGACGGATTTGATCAGTTTTTATTTAGAGGTTAAATTTAGAGATAAGCTGCAGGAGAAGAGGAAAAAGGAGAGATGCAGACCGAAGCTGCCGAGACAGAAAATACTTGGAGGAAGGGTAGGACAAAAACAGGCAGGCTAAGAATGGAGATTAAAAGAAATAAAGTAACACTGAAAAGGGAGATTAAGTAATGAGAATTATGAGAAAGGGAAGAAAGAGAGGAGCATTTCACCAAGATGAACAGAGTGAAGAAAGAGCGACAGCTGCCAGTTTTAATCAGTCACAGCCAGCTAGCAGGAAGGTCTAGCAGGAAGCAGACAGAAACATGCCACCATTGTTTCCATCAATAAGCTTTCATACAGTTTAGTTTAATAAGCACTCGTTCAGTTCAGAACATTTAAGTAAAAGATGTTCACCCATCTCAAAACAACTCCAGGATCAAACTCAGACAAAAAGCAGCGTTTTCAGTACAAATGTTGGAAAGATATTCCACTAATATTTTGGTGGATTAAAAAAACGCTGCACCATCACCCTCCAACTACTTCCTGTCTTCTTCTTCTTTGTGGTTTCTGCCAGTTCTGTCATGTGATTCTTATGATGTGAAAAAAGCGTTTCCAATACAGTTTTGAAAAATAAACCAATTTCATTTAAACTCATCAACAAAATCATTTCACTGCCTCTGAAGAAGACCCTGAGTGCAAATTTCTTCTTCCCAAAATGTAAACAAAAATGGAATAACATCCGGTTTTAGCTGTTGCAAAATTTCTCTTTAGCCTTTAGCTAAAGACCATGAGTCATTTCTCCCACTAGTGCTAAACTTGCGCGTTTGCTTTTGGTTGTTTTTACCCAGAACGCCCTGCACCATAGTCCACTTCCTGATTTTGGAGCGGTCTCTGGTCCACTTGGCATTCACATGATTGTGACTGAACAATCACAATCAGGTAACCAAGTTACTTTTAGTTTCTATAAGAAAGCTTCATATATGAAACATGACTTGCATGGGTTTTTGCAATTTGGCGCCTTAAAATTGGCCTGCTGTCTTTTTAAGAACCTACTGCTGTTTCAGAAACTCCACCTTCACCAACTTCAACCATCACAACAATGCTTCTCTTTATGCTGTTAACAACCACTCTTAGGTCTGAGAAGTGGTTGGTTTAAAAGGTTATCACTCTCAGGTCCACCAGGTGTTTGCTAATTGCTGCTGCTGCTAGTCTGGAGGAGCTCGGATGGTGCACTGTTTGAGGTGGAAAGAGGAGCTTTGGGGAAGTTGGCCGGGAATTCAATGATTCCTCAAACATGCATGAAAGAATCAAAGCAACAATCCAGGTCTGTTTCTGATGAGGGAATAACATTATACACTGAAAAAAAACAAAATCTTACAAAGTATTTTCTATATTTTCTAGTGCAAATATCTTATTAATGTTGAAATATGTTTTTCAGCTTGATATAATATCTTGTAAGTCAATTACTCCTTCATATTGATAGTTATAAGGGAAATAATCTACCAATGCAAACTCCTATTCTTCTTGAAAAGTTACTTGTAAGTTACTTTATATTTTTTCAAAAGTGCTAAGATATTTGCGTTTCTTTAGAAGTTTTTAGATAAATCTCAATAGGATACTTGTGTATTTACAGTGATATAATGCTAAAAAAATGTTGATTTTACATAATATTGGAAGTTTAAAACACAATTACTTTGCATTTTTGTAACATTTTGTAATATTTTCTCTATAACAATGAATTTGATTAAGTAATTATACATATATATAAAGTTTCCTGGTGAAAATTTGTTTGATGAACCACACAAAATCAGTCCATAGGTTGGTCCTTCTTCCACACCTTGGACACCCCTGTTGTTAACTATTTCCATACTGTGTATGTGCTGCAAGACGATGATATCCAATAGTTGATACCAAACTAATATAAAGTAACACACCAAGCACGATAGCAAGTTGAAGGCCTTAAAGAAGCCCAAAAAGATGCAGCAACACGACAAAACTCCACGAACCAGGCCGCCATTCCGCTCTCCAATTTGTTTCTATTCACAAATAAGACGATCAAAACCAGCCGGCCAAAGCGTGAATTATTTCCACGCGTGGATCACGTAACACATGTGTGAACACGTCAAACAGCGCGTCCAATCCACCGGATCACTGCGGTAACCTGCACCCAAATGCAGGCCGGCTTCCCTGCAATAAAAAACACACCCCGCACCTCGAGTCCTTCCTCTCACGCAAGGAATGACACAGTAAAAATATAGCTTTTTTTATTTTTTTTTTCAAGCCACACCGTGAAATATTGGGGCCTTACCGTTAGATTCGCCCTCGGACTGCTGCTTGCTCGAGTTTGGATCGATAAGCGGAACGGGGATGAATGCGGGGGGGAGGCTACCGCAGGAAACGCTTCATCGGGACAAACGCACGGAGCGTGCGGCGCGGGGACAATGCGGCCGCAGCAGCGGGAGACGCCGGTCGGGAGGTGCAGTCGGTGGAGAGCCGGTGGAGGGCGATGATGATATCCATAGAGGTCCTCCGCTTCCACCTGACACGGCCGCTCCGTCCTCCGTTTCCTCCTCCTCCTCTCCGCCGGTGATACTGGAGAGAAATAGCAGCATCAATGGAGAGAAAGAGAGACAGAGAGAGAGAGAGAGAGAGAGAGAGAGAGAGAGAGAGAGAGAGAGAGAGAGAGAGAGAGAGAGAGACAGAGAGAGAGAATCATACAATTACACCAGCAGCCACCACCAGGGGGCGCACATGAACTCTTTTTTTTTTTTTTTTTTTTACACATATATTGTCAGTTTGTTTTGGGTCTTAAAAATAGAAAAACAAAATGGAAAAAATTACCACCAAAAAAATAAAGCTTAAAATAAATAAAAACTCAAAAACATTAGCTATGAGATTTTGATAAATTTGAGATATTAATATCAGAAATAGCCTAGAAAAAAAGGATTTTTCTGAATTTCAAAGTGAAAACTTGTCAGAAATTTTGAGCTTAATCTCAGAAATTTTCAAGAAAAAAATAGGAAATTTCAGAGTTTCAAAAGTAAAAATGTGACTTCTAGTTTTCAACATCTAAATATTTAACGTACATATTTATTTGCCAAGTTAAATATTTCGCTTTTTAACTAAATTGTTTGAAGCTACATAGTGTAAGAATTTAGTTTTGAGCTTGAAATTTGGCTTTAAAAGTCAATATTTTGTTTGGCAATATGATTTACCTTAAAGATATATCTTTCTGGCTAAATATTAAGTTTGTAGCCACATCTTCAATATTAAGAATTATCTTGAAACTAACATTTACAAATGAATAATGAACAAGTTTAAAAAGTAAACCTGTCAGATTGTCTAAATCTTAAATTTTACAGACAAATCTAAACATTTCAGATTTATAGTTTTAGCATTTATAAAACTAGAGGTTGGATGCCTTGTTTTCTTGTGCCTTGGGCCGGCTTGGTTTATTTTTCCTCTGTGGTGATGATTCCAAACTTTAAAAAGACAGTCAGTTTTCAGATTGTAGAAAAATGTGTCCTACTAATTATGATCATAACGCTATAATAAAAGTTAATGAAGCGGAAAATCTGCGCGGCTCCTTTAAATCTTCAGGAGGGCGGAGTCTGTGCGGCGGAAGTGTTTCTGTAGGACTTTCTCAAACGCCTTAAACCTTGCTGTTCTTCGGTAAGATTGCCGCTGTGTCTAAATCTCGTCTAGTTCCAATAATGTCAAGTAGTCCTTCTCAATAATGTCGGAGTCCATAAAGAATGTCGCGATATTTGGGGCCACGGGAATGACCGGGCTGGCGACGCTGCCGCAAGCCGTGGCTGCAGGTGAGCTTTGCGGGGAGAAGCGACCGGGAGTGACGGGGGGACTATGGATGTTCATTAAAACAGGCTGCTGGGGGTAAATGGGAAACATGTGAACGGATTTCTTTTTAATAAGAGTACATAAAAATCCTTCAAAGGTTAATTTTAACATAACTTTAAAAAAAAAAAAAAAAAAAGTTATGTACATATAAGAATGTATTTTGTACATTCTTATATGTACAAAAATAATAAAACATACAGTTAAAAATGATTCCATGCAAAAGTTCACTTTTAATGTAAGTTTTGACATTAATACATTAATAGTGCTTATTTGTTTTTGTCTTACTGAAAATATGAAGAATTTTGCTTCTTTAAAGGAACAAATACAAAAAAAAACTACAGTTCAAATATAAATGGTTGAAAAGGCTAAACATTTTCACATTATAATAATAATTAACTGATTTGCATTTTAAATTAAATGTGAAATAAGCTTTCACTTGACTTGTAGGAACTGAAAATATATATATTTTTTACCTTGATCTATTTTACTTTCTGAACCAATCAGGTTGCATGTATATTATGTAACCTTTTATTTATATAGTCTTATAACAAATTTGAGTCCTAAGGACTCCAAGCATTTTACAGGATGCTGTAAAAACACAATCGTGTGTCATGTGATGAGAAAAGAGTTATTTTAGCAGCATTTTCATTTCCTTCTGCTCACTCTGAAATCTGCTGAGTCATGTTAACCGTTAGGTCGGCGTTTTGCCGAGTCATAAGAATGCGATAGCTGTTCTCTATCTTGCCTGAACACAAAGGGTGGGATTCTTGGGGCGTTACCGGTAAAATTAAACGGCTTTTTCGATTTTTTTGTTACACAAGTTAGTTAAATAAATGAAGCTATTCTTAGGACGTTACTGATAAAATGAAACGTCTTTTTAGATTCTTTGTTACACAACTTACAATTGAATGAAGTGAAGCTATTCTCATCTAGAGACATTTCTGGTCTCAAAATGGCTCAAACTCGGTAATGGATCAGCAGCGTTTGTAATTATCCGACTTTGACCGTTTCTGATATTAATAGTTTCCTGTTTTTCACCAGGATACAGCGTGACAGTCCTGGTGCGGGACGCGTCCAAGCTGCCGGCGGACCACAAGGCGTCCAGAGTGGTGGTCGGTGACGTCCTGAATAAAGACGATGTGAGGAAGACTCTGGAAGGCCAGGACGCAGTCATCATCATCCTTGGAACCAGGAGTGACCTCAGTAAGGCTTCTCTTAAAAAAGCTGAAATATTTGTGTCCATAAATGAAAGACAGGTTTGAAGACTTCCATGACTCAAGTGTAGCTAATCCCGCTCTGAAAGCTAAGCCCCGCCCCCGACATATTTAGAAAATTCCAGAGCCGCATTCTTATTGGCTCCGCCATTCCTATTGGCTCCACCAATAGCTGGAATTTGTAGGACAAAAATGGGGAAAAGAGTTAAGCTGCTAAATTTGTGTTGAAGGCAAACAGGATAGAAAAGTCAAAGAATGTTTTTCATGTAAATGATGAATTTTTGCTTATTTTGATTGTTCAGCTAAAACATTTCCTACTGAAACATTGGGGTTTTTTTCTCCATGAACTGGTTAGTGTGCATTTTTCTTTCTTCACATTGTGCAATTCTTTCCTGCAAAAACTTTACTTTATGACAGTTCTGCTTGTCCAGGATATAATACTGCAAGTTAGTCACTAAGGGTCACCTTTGTCCTTTTGGTTTATGTAAGATAATATTCTAGCACAAACTCTCTTGGACTATTTCGAATCTCATATAAAGAAAAGGTATTTCTTTGTGGTAGGAGGTAAATTTTTGTGATGAAAATCACATGCGGGGTTCCCCAAGGTCCATCCTGGGGTCTCTATTATTTATTTGTCCTTGTATTGGCAAATGTCTGCTAAAGGTAACGCTGGTTGAGTCACAGGGTGTTCATCTTTACTAAGAAAAAAAAATCGGCAAAATATCTGTTGTTTTTATACATGTAAGCTCAGATTTGCATATATTTATTATTGCAGTCACAAACTGATGGTATTTTTGCTAATTAGGCCCAACCACCATGATGTCTGAAGGCACCAAGAACATCGTGGAGGCGATGAAAGCACGAGGAATCCGCAAAGTCATCGGCTGCATGTCAGGTAAGGGGCTTAAAGAGGCCATTTTTTAGCTAATGTGAGTGAATTTTACAAGAAAAACATGATATCTTAATTTTCATATTTATCACATAATCCCATCTATTTCCCACTCAGCGTTCCTGCTGTGGGATCGCGCCAAAGTCCCGCCTCGCCTGGTCCCAGTCACCGAGGATCATGACCGAATGTACGCGGTTCTGAAAACGTCCGGGCTCGACTACGTGGCTGTTATGCCTCCTCACATTGCTGGTCAGTAGAAAGGAAGTATTTAGCAGTAACTTTTCTCCTTTAAATGACAGGATTTTATTCCTGTATGTACTAATAAAAAGTTGTAACATGTTTGGGTTTTCTGCAGGGGACCTTCCTCTGACGGAGCGCTACATGGCGACAGAAAACATGCTGAAAGGACGAGCCATCTCCAAGCACGATCTTGGACATTTCTTTGTCAAGTGTCTGTCCACGTCGGAGTGGGACAGAAAGACTGTGGGAGTCTGGGGAGAATACAAATAATCCCAGAAAACTGCAGATGCTTCCAACATTTTACTTACACTGAAAATCTAAACGAAAAAGAGAACATCAACACATAAATCAAGAGATGTTTTTGATTTTCCAAATTAATTCCACCTTTCTCATTGGTAAATAAGCAAAACATGTTTCAGATCTTTTTGTTTTCTTGTCTTTTACAGCCATAGCACAAGATTGTATCCTGTTACCAAACTTTGCAACATATGATACTTTTATTCTGCTCTGGATTCATTTTACAGCTCTTGATAATAAAAGTCCTTTTTCTGTCTTTCATCATTTACTGAGTAAATTATACAGCTCTAATGAGAAGTTTCACTCACTCACTTAAAGCTGCAGTTAGTTTTATAAAATATATATATATATATTTATTTTTCCATATTTGTTGAAACGATTGCTATGTTGCAACAGTGTTGTATGAGACAAATGATCTGTGAAAAAAATTTAGTTCCTCTGCCTTCTCCCAGTGCGAACTCGAAACAACAAATCAGAGGCTGGTCTTGGCGCTGTCAATCACAACCTTGTGTAGCACTGCCCGTCCCCCTTTCTGAAGCCATTTCCAAACTCTGGCTGTTCAGTTCTTTCTTAGACCTGATCAGGGATCCTCTGATCAGGTTTCAATACCAATCACCCATGAAGGCCGATCAGTACTGATCACCTGGAACGGTTGTTAATTTTTCGCGTTGGGTATAAATGCTGATCTGGCAAAATGGAAAAATTATCTGGCAATAAATTCACCTAAAATGCTAAATACTTGCAGGCACAATAAACCAGCTATTCAGTCAAAAGGACAACTGAAAACCCTGCAATAGTAAGACTATCATAAATTATACACGAGTCAAATTAATCTCATAACACTGCCTATATAGAATAATGTCAAGAAATAAGAAAACATTCATTCAAAGTCAAATGCAGGTTGCATCAAAATGAACAATCCTGAGTTACTAAATCATAACTTCCTGATTGCTTGACCAGCTTATTAATGCTGGCTCTGATTGGCTGCTTCTGACTAACTGAAGTAATTCTGCAGGGAGGAACCAGAGATTATCTGTCTTATTTTAGGGAATAGCAAAAGTTTTAATGCATATGTAAAATATTTTTGTTGTTTTAGTTGCATGTAGCAGCTTTAAGCAAACATTCGGTGTGAGATTCTCTGCCAGGTGGAGGTTGAGCGGCGGTCCAAGAGCAGATCCCAGCGTTTTACACTGCCAGCTCAAACACTGAGATTATTAATTCAGATTATTTGCTGAGCTTTCTGACCGTCTTCCTGTTGAGTGTTTGACAAAAAAACAACCTCCAGATGTCTTTTTTTCCTGCATTGAGCCTCGATGTTGCAAAACTCCGTCACCTGTTTGTTTTTTAAATGCTTCATTAGATTCGTTGTGTTGATGCATTTTGACCTACTTCGCCCCAGAGGTAATTTTCCTCATTTACTCAGAGCGTTAAAGTTTCACACGACATCGTTTAGGACTTGCTGCTGCTGCTGCGCTTCAGCTGTGTGAAGGAAAGAGGAGATAAGCTGAACACGCAGGCTGCAAAGTGAGATAAATGTGGTCAGTTTTGCTGATCGGCGATTATACACACGGAAATCGGCCGATTATGATCGGTGGCCGATCGACTGGCTCACCTCTACCTTACACTCTTATGTGAGCATTTCTCCCTGATCATCCAAACTGAGATCAAAATGGCCGCTGCCCTCTACAAGTAAGATACTGACTGCTCATTGGTACTTAACATAAACTCAGCAGTGTGTTTGCATTGTTCTGAATGTTGTGATGATTATTCTGTGTTTTCTGCTCCTCAGTCCAGCCACCTGATGGACAGTCCAGGCCTGAGCTGCAGCACGCAGAGCCTGAACAGACGGGGATCGCTGGGTGGGACCAGCTAACACAAAATAACACAAACCATTTAAATACAAGAGAAACTGATGGATTGTTTAAAAACTGGACTCCAAAATCAGCATCAAGAGGATTCCCCGCCATGAGTCTCCAAACGATGGTCGCTGCAGAGTGGGGTCAAAGGTCGACTTATCCTGACCAGCAACAAGGTTTAAGTCTGTCTGCAACATTTCTTTTTCTTGCTCCTGTTTTCTGAATTGTCAGAATCAAGTTTAACAATTTTACATGCTAAATCTCTAAAACAAAACAAAATAATCTATTTATTATTTTTTATAACTAAGGAACAATCTAGAAATCTCAAATAGTTTCATGAGAAACGTCCAACAAAAAGAAAAAAAAGTACAAATTTGATGTCTATAAAGTAACATATCTAAGAATTATCAAGTTATTTTTTACCTTCGATTTGGGAGCAAAATTGCAACATTTGTTCCATTTCCAGCTGGTGCTTTTCTTTTTCAAACTGCACTGAATCAAACCCTTTGAAAAACCTGTTTCCCTCCTGGCCTGTGGGGGCGCTGCACCAACAACCACTGAAGGAAACGACATAAAAACCTCTGCAGAAGACACTGAGCACAACTTCCTTCGTCAGGAAACGTAAACAGATGGAGTAGCGTCAGATTTAGAGGTTGGAGGATTTCTCTTGTTTTCGGCTAAAGACCTCGAGCCGTTTCTCCTGCTAGCGCTAGGCTAGCATGTTTGTTTTGGCTGTATTTACCCAGAATGCCCTGCGCTGTTGTCCACTGACCAGGCAAACAAACTGGAGTAAATTACAGCGGATCAAACAGGACTGGTGTGAATGTTTAACATTGTATTTTATTTGTAAAACACTAAGAGGTTGAAACACAGCTGGTTAATAGTTTCTAGCAGGAATGAATATTTGAAAAAGTTCCTTAAATTGTAGTTTTATTTTGTGTTTTAGTGAAATTTTTAAAGTTTAAAGGTCTGTTACGGCCCGGCTCGGAAAGCCGCAACAAAATTAGAGGGACACGGCATTAAGCCCATGAGAGACGCTTATTTTTAAAAGAGTCAAGTTGTCTAGGAGACATCAAATGGACGGCCCAAAGGATGATCAATCCGCGCCCCTTCAGTCTGGTCCCTTCACACCAGGAAGCCCTGGTCTCATCCTGGACTGGATCTCAGGGTCGTCTGCGCATGGTGGCTTCTGACAGTCTCACACACGAATGGAACGGCGCTCCTTATATACCATCCAGGTGTCTGATGGAAGCGCCTCCCACATTGAGGACCTTAATTGATAGTAAATCACATGACACACAGGACTGCACAGCAGGGCCGTCACAAGGTCAAACATGATTTTCTTGAAGATGGAAGTATCTGAACTCCATGTTCTGATTGTCACATTTCTGTTTTATGAATGATTGTATATTTGCTGTTTGTTTGGGGAGTTGAAGTCATGCTGTTGGTTACCATAGAAACCCTATTCTTTTGCGTATGCTTACTGTGTGCCACATTTTTGCCTGTGAGCTGCTGGTAACTATAATTTCCTGAGGGAGTCTTCCCAAGGGATCAATAAAGTCAAGTCTAAGTCTAAGTCTAGTCTAACAAAATAAAACACATTTAGGGTTAAAACTGAAGAAGTTTACTCTGATTTAGAGGAATGTTTGTGTTTTATATCTGCAGCTTTGTGAAAAGTTAAATAGGATTAAAGAGAATTTAAACAACAACATGAAGTTTTTGGTGTATTTTCTGTTTACTGATGATGTTAGTTTTAAAAATCAGCTTCAAAAGCAAATATTCTATTTTGGGTTGTTACTTTTCTTCTGCAGAGCATCAATGCCCCTCCCCCACCTAATGCTGCAAGTCGGCTGACTGCAATGCAGTTTTTCAGATTGATTGTAAATATTTAAACTCAAACAAGAAAGATGATCTTTTCTTTTTTGTTTAGCTTTAGTGCTAAGCTAATAATTAGCTGGACTAATAGATTAGTGGAGCTAATTATTACAGAAAATATACAAAATTTATCTCAGAAGTTGTACTTTAATTTATTTGGGGATTTTGAAGAGTCAGTGGCTTTTTGCTTAGTGACGGATATTTCATCATTCAGTATATTGAGTCAGCCAAAGCAGATGGAAACTGTGATACTATCAAAAGATGATAAACATGCAAAAACATGTTTTATGTGAAATTATGAAGGTAAAAAATGTAATTAGTCCATCAGAGCAATTAGAAATGCCAGAAAACTTGCTGGTTTATTAAAAATGCACCGCAGAAGCCCGACCCGACTATCAAACTCAACTTTGGACCAACCGGCTCGAATTTTGGCTCAGAGCTGCAAAGGTTGAGATAATAGTTTAGATTTTCATGCATGCATGTTGCTGCAGCAGCATAAAGGGCTGGTAGTGTTTAATATTCTAAATAATAAATGTTTTGAGTTAAATGGGTCTAAAATATCTCAACTCTTTGAAATAAACAACTTTTTCCAGCTGAAGATCTAAAGTTTAGATTCACCCTGAAAAACCTGGTTATGTTGCAATAAAGCTGATAATGTTGCTGACGCTTCAATCCAGATTAGCATCACTCAGCAAGCTCACGGCAGCACACAGAGGCTGAACACCCAGATTAATGTCTAGATTTCTCTCTCTGCCTCTATGAAGCCTTTCTGCTCTGATGACCAAAGACAGAAAAACAATAATTCAAATATTCCAGATTTATAATCTGAAATGTTCCAGGAATCTTCCTGGAGGAGAAACTGACCACTTCTCCTCCCTCTGCTACTTTCTCCTACTACTCTCCATCCTTGCTCCAGGTTTTCCCTTGAAAACTTGCTGCGTCTGGTTTTCGGGGCACTAAGACGATCCACTGTGTTTTTGTATTAAAAGAGAGGAAATGTAAAAATATTACAAGGTAATTAAATGTTACAGGAAACATCGGCAGTGAAATGCTATTTAAACCCACAACTATAGAGTCTTAAAAACATCAAATCAAAAACTACGATTCAAATGAATATCAATTATTTGCTCTTCTGTTTAATCCACAGTCAGCCTGCGGCTCCATAAGGCCCCCAGGGCTTCGGTGGCCCCAGAAATACTAATATTTTAACACAAACACATAAAGGTAACATTTGTTTATTAATCAAAGCTGCTAAATTTAATAGTTACAACATGAATTAAAAGATTTTAACTTTAAGATTTTAAAGTTTACTGTGTAAAAGTCAAACTCTGCTGCAGGCAGAGGGGACAAAGCATTTGGCCTGGTTTGATGCATCGTGTCACAGAAAAAATAATAATAAATCATTTAAAACCAGCGTGATGCTGGGCTGAACCGCTTACCCAGTAATGCACCGGCCAACTGGGACCAACTGGGACCAACTGGGGCCAACTGGGGCCAACTGACATAAACTTTACAGTGCAGAGAGAGAACTGGTCGCTGGGCGGCGCACTGGGCCGGGGGGCGGGGAAAAGGCCAGGGGGCGGGGCTAAAGGCCCTTTATACCCAAATAATAAAGCCCATGATAATATAACTTTACAACATAGACAGAGGCAGGCGCCGCATGCGCAGCGTGTCGCAGAACCTCCTGCACCTCTGCATGTTCGTTGCGTATCGAACTATGTTCACACAGACTGGAAGATGCTCTTCCAGGCGGCTACAATCTAAACCTTAACGATAGTCGCCATCCTGCTGTCTTGGCTCCATGCGCTCAACCCCAACAGTTGAGAGCGACTATAACTCAGCCTTCAGTCCCTGATGTCACCGCTGTTCCACTGATAGAGAGAAAATGGGATGTAATACGGCTTTTTCAAAACAAGAAAATGAAATATATTTGTTTTGTTTTCCTGGTAATATAAATAAGCAACACTTAGCCTGGCGGAGGAGCCAGGAAAGCCTGGCGGGCCGTCAGGCTTATCAGACCCTGGGGGAAACCCTGCTTGCATTTTCTGCAGTTATTGCTGACATCAGGTTTATGTTCTCTCTCTGTTTCTTCTCTTCATAGCAGCAACACCTGGGCTCAGTTCTGCTCAGCAGTGACTCCTTCCTGCAGGGAAGCTGAGCTGCTGCTGCCAACAACATCAGGTTCCCCTTCAGTGGATGAAACACACCTGGATCCACTCCGCCACTTGCAGAACAAGCACTGACCTAAACACAGGAACAACAGAGACTGGTGAAAGCCTGAATCCCAGTAGGCCCAGTATGAGCCCAGTATGAACCCATCTTCACCATGAGCTCCTAGGAAGGAGGCGTTTTCTCTGAAAGCAGCCAAAGACGTGAACTGTGACGTTCAGGAAGCAGCAGATAAAACAGCTTAAAGTAGGAAGTCTTCAGAGTCTGGAGCCTCATCCTGATCACATCAAGAGACGAAGCTTCGCTCCACATTCAGAGGAAACATGGACCAAACAGCTCTGATGCTGCTGCTGTGTCTCTGCAGCTCAGGTAGGACTCCACTTTCACACAAAACACTGATATTCACTGGAGTTCAAGTTCAAAACGATCGACTGATAAACATGTTAAATTTTACTATCAAAAACCTGGAAACTGTTTCTGGTCTCAGATCGTAGAGCTGCTGCTGCAGTTAGTGATGTTTATATTGTTTACTTGCTGCTAAGGAGCCAATAACATCAACAGTTGTTGGTTTCAGTGTTTTGATGAAGTAAAGCACTTTGAACTGCCTTGTTGCTGAAATGAGCTATAAAATTAATCTGATTGATTGATTGATAAGGAGAAGCTGCAGAAACTCTGCAGCGGCGCTGAATCTGCGCAGTAAACAGGTGGAGCCGCATAAAATGGCTCCTTCTGCATGAATCCTCTCATCTTCCTCTTGGCTCCACAGGTTCTCTCTGAGGTTCTGGTCAGGCCCGTTTGCTGGCCAACCGAGCCCAGTAGCACCACGGTCACTGGACCAGCTTCTGGTACCGCTGGTTGTGCTGGTGAAAACGATGTGCAGATTAATCCTCTAATTGTGGTGATTTTCTCTAAAGAAATGTGCAGGCCCAGTTTGGCTGCAGCTCAGGTGGTTTGTGAGTCTGTCAGCTGTAGCAAATGAAGCTCAATCATTGTTCATGTTCTGCTTTATGAGCGTTTCCCTGCAATGTTAGTGCAGACGTTGGAGATTTCACCATAAACGTGACGTTGAGTTTCACTCCGTTGACGTTCGGCCCAACAGAGTCGTCTTGCAGATCTATAATATACATCTGTGGTTTCAAAGGTAACAGTGAAACAATCAGACGGGGCCACATCAGTTACAGAGACGCTGGAAATATTCACAGCCTGCCTGATAAGCAGGTCCATAATGTGTCCTTGATGACGTGTTGCTGGGTTAACATGTGAATTAAAGCAAAATGATCAACAATATCACAGCTGTAAAAGCCAAATGACCTAAATGAGCATTACCTGTGGCACAGCTGTGACAGTTAGTGGTGGGTGTGTCGTAAGTGGGTGTGACTTTCACTTAGTATGAATGAGAGCCGTACTGACTCGCTGGTTCACTATGTAGAAGGAAACGGGTGCGCCGGGTGGAGGGTTATAATTTCTGTTGACCGTGTTAAATATTGTTTATTGTTAGCATCATTATGGTTTAGCCTGGTCAGCATGTGTCAGTTCTTAAAGTCTGAAGTATTTAAGCTGATATATGGAATAAATTCATGATAACAACAACAAAGGAGCCACTGGAAGTTATTGGAACACGCGTCATGACAGCATCAACCTACCCAGTTAACCCCGTGCGACCTTCTATATTATTGTTAGTTTTTACCGCACAATTAACAGCTTTTAATCCCCTCTGTCTTCAGGCTCGTCAACATGCTGTTGAAATCTCCCACAATTATTTAACTGTCAGAATCAATGAATATAACAGATAAAAACCCATTAAAGTCAATAGAGATGTTTTTCCAGATATGATGGGATTTTGCATAGAGTTAGCATCAGAGCTCATTTATGGACTTTTACACAAAAACAATAAATTTGACTTTGGTTGGTCTCAGTAAAGACATCAAGTATAAATGGGTAGAAAAGGAGAATAATGGGAAACATTTCAGGTCTTACTACAGAGCGTACATAGCATTTCAGTCTGGGCTTTAACTAGGCCACTCCTACATAAAGGTGCTTTGATCAGAACCATCCATGACAGCTCTGCCTCTAAGAGAAGATAAAATAAACACCATCAACAGGATCCTGTCATCACATCCTAAATCAATCTGTCTTTGCTTTTTCTAACCCAACATGTAAATGTTGTTTCTTCCAGCGCTGGCTGATGAACTCAGACTGGTAGCAGGAAGGAGTCGCTGTGTTGGCAGACTGGAGAAGAAGGAACTGGGAGACTGGGAACCAGTGAAGTTTTGGAACAAGAACTGGAACTTTACAACAGCAGCTGGATTGTGCAGACAGCTCCACTGTGGATCTGTGGTGGCGTTCCAAGGAGATGAGAGCGACAATGTAGAGATCGTCTGTTCAGGTGATTTCATATCCTGGCCAGTGTCTTCCTGTTCTGCTTCCAACTCCACTTTAAAAATATTCTCACTTCCAGCTCAGTCTGGGCTTCTTCCCCTTCACCTGGATTCCCTCTGGTAGATTTTCTACTGGACCAATCAGTGAACAGAAGAAGTTTGAATGATGACCTTGATTTGCTGTTATTGTAGAAACACAGTCTGTCTGTAGTTTAATCAATGGCAGTGGAGGAAGTTCAGTCCATGTTGGTCACACTTTCAAATATTGAATGAACATCAACAGTCGCCTCATTGGGCTCTTCTCTGTTTTGTGGTGGACAAATTATTGTAAGGTAATATCTGCTGGTTGTATTGTCTTCATCCTAAATGCCAGTGAACTCTCACCAAATGAAGCTGTTTGGTTTGCAAGCACAAGGTTGGGAGATGTTTTCCTGCAGCTGCATGAGAACCAGCCTTGGTATAAAACTCCTGTTGTCTCTGCCTGGGGAGTTTTCAATGAGAAATGTTTCACTATAGATCGTCTGATCTGCTCTCTGTATTGAGCACAATGTGCCAATAAACCTGATTGAGTGATTTCATATATCAGTGCTTGGTAATGGACAAACATTAGACACTGTGTGAAATTTAAAACCTCAACACAGTCCAGACTCTCTGGATGAACCAAAGTGTGGAACAGAGCGGCTGGTTTTTACCAGGTTAGTGACTGAATGAAGTTTGATTAGATTCAAGGGGAACCAGTGGAGCAGATTCAGGGCTATAAAAACCTCAATGTCACTGAGAAGAAGCTGATCAAATGTTGCACTTCCTCCACAAATTAAGTTCAGAGAGTTAAGATGATAGTTTTCTATGATTCTGTCATTAAATCTGTCATTTGCTTTGTAGAAAACAATGATAAAATATTAATAATTGATCATTCATAGGTTCTTTGTGCTGTTCTAGTGTAATTTTCTCTGTTTGTCTTCAGTTTTTTTCCATTCATCTCCAGGCCTGCAGTAAAGGCAGATGCTAAAAGTGCAAAGAATATTAAAAACAAGATATAAAAATAATAAACTCTTCCCAGCCCCCCTCTCCGCCCGTTCTCCACTAGTTGGTTTGTTCCTCCACAGAGTCTGAACTGGATTGTAGCTTTGCTGAACAAACTGGAACCAAATTCAGTGAAAATGTTGAAGAAACTTTTATTCTTTCTGCATCCACAGATTCAGTCAGGCTGGTTCCAGGGACCAACCGGTGCTCAGGCAGACTGGAGGTGAAGACCGACCAGTCGTGGTCCTCAGTGTGTGAAAAAGACTTTGACCTGCAGGATGCACAGGTGGTCTGCAGGGAGATTGGCTGTGGGCCTCCTTCAGTCCTCCAGGGGGCGCTCTATGGAGAAGCAGAGGCTCCAGTGGGGAGCAGAGAGTTCCTGTGTGAAGGCAGTGAGTCTGCTCTGCTGAACTGCAGCAGCAGGAAGAGTTCAGGTAGAAACAGCTGCTCACCTGGTCAAGCTGTTGGACTCACCTGTTCAGGTAGAGGAGGATCTGCAGACCTGCTGCTGTTCACTGCTTCACTTCCTTCATTAATCAACTCTCTGTCTCTGCTCACATCAAGACAACATCAGGTTGGTGGGAGAGGCCAGTCGATGTGCCGGGAGACTGGAGATGTTCCATCAAGAAGAGTGGAGACCAGTGACACTTTGGAATCCTTACTGGGACATGAACTCAGTTGCTGCAGTTTGTGCTGCACTGGACTGTGGTTCTGCTGTTTCAGCAAGAAAATCATATGAAGCTTCAAAGAGAGCAGTTTGGAGTATCAGGTCTGACTGTTTTCAGTCAGGATCTGCATTAAAAAACTGTTTACCTGATGATAAAACCAGTGATCAGAGCCTTGAGATCATCTGCTCAGGTAAATCTGAACTCATATTTATATAAAATGTTTCTTCCATCAGGTTCCAGATGTCTGCAGAGAAATCATCACCTTTAACTAAGAACCTGAAGTTTTGAGGGAAACTAAAATCATTTAAATATCCAGATAAAGTTCTCAGTTTATTCCAATAGATGAACAAAAACTCATCATTTTGATAACTTTTAATCTTTGCTGCTTTGAAGTCGATGCATCAAAATCCCAGGAGTTCAAGGAAATCAGACATGTTTAAAACCTGAAAATCAACAGGAAATGACTTTTGATCCAAAATGGTGGACTTCCTGTTTTTAGTGGAAATAGCAGGAAAACCTTTTGTTTGTTATGGTTGTTGGCCTGGCTGAACTAGGGGGCGCTGTTCAGCTATATTGTCACATTTATTTTTAATTCCACTGAAATATTCACATTTTCACAGAGATTAAAGTTTGTTAGACATTTAGTGAGTTTATGATCATGTTAAGGCCCAAAATGTGATAAATTCAGCAGAAATAATAATGAATGATAAACTTGCAGGTACAGTCGGTTTCACTTCACTTTGTTTTCTTGACCTTTATTTTCATCAAACTCAGAGATGTTTCCATGAGTATCTAGAAAAATAAAGTTCTGAAATATTTTAATTTTTTTTTCTTTCTGCATCCACAGATTCAGTCAGGCTGGTTCCAGGGACCAACCGGTGCTCAGGCAGACTGGAGGTGAAGACCAACCAGTCGTGGTCCTCAGTGTGTGAAAAAGACTTTGACCTGCAGGATGCACAGGTGGTCTGCAGGGAGATTGGCTGTGGGCCTCCTTCAGTCCTCCAGGGGGCGCTCTATGGAGAAGCAGAGGCTCCAGTGGGGAGCAGAGAGTTCCTGTGTGAAGGCAGTGAGTCTGCTCTGCTGAACTGCAGCAGCAGGAAGAGTTCAGGTAGAAACAGCTGCTCACCTGGTCAAGCTGTTGGACTCACCTGTTCAGGTAGAGGAGGATCTGCAGACCTGCTGCTGTTCACTGCTTCACTTCCTTCATTAATCAACTCTCTGTCTCTGCTCAGATCAACACAACATCAGGTTGGTGGGAGAGGCCAGTCGATGTGCCGGGAGACTGGAGATGTTCCATCAAGAAGAGTGGAGACCAGTATATGTTTGGGATGATAACTTGAACATGAACTCAGTTCCTGCAGTTTGTGCTGAACTGGACTGTGGTTCTGCTGTTTCAGCAAGAAAAACAATGGAAGCTTCAGGAAGACCAGTTTGGTTGATCTGGTCTGAATGTTTTCAGTCAGGATCTGCATTAAAAAACTGTTTACCTGATGATGGAACCAGTCATCAGAGCCGTGAGATCATCTGCTCAGGTAAATCTGAACTCATATTTATATATTTTAAAATGTTTCTTCCATCAGGTTCCAGATGTCTGCAGAGAAATCATCACCTTTAACTAAGAACCTGAAGCCTTGAGGGAAACTAAAATCATTTAAATATCCAGATAAAGTTCTCAGTTTATTCCAATAGATGAACAAAAACTCATCATTTTGATAACTTTTAATCTCTGCTGCTTTGAAGTCGATGCATCAAAATCCCAGGAGTTCAAGGAAATCAGACATGTTTAAAACCTGAAAATCAACAGGAAATGACTTTTGATCCAAAATGGTGGACTTCCTGTTTTTAGTGGAAATAGCAGGAAAACCTTTTGTGTGTTATGGTTGTTGGCCTGGCTGAACTAGGGGGCGCTGTTCAGCCACATTGCCACATTTATTTTTAATTCCACTTAAATATTCACATTTTCACAAAGATTAAAGTTTGTTAGACATTTAGTGAGTTTATGATCATGTTAAGGCCCAAAAGGTGATAAATTCAGCAGAAAATAATAATGAATGATAAACTTGCAGGTACAGTCGGTTTCACTTCACTTTGTTTTCTTGACCTTTATTTTCATCAAACTCAGAGATGTTTCCATGAGTATCTAGAAAAATAAAGTTCTGAAATATATTAAAACTTTTTTCTTTCTGCATCCACAGATTCAGTCAGGCTGGTTTCAGGGACCAACCGGTGCTCAGGCAGACTGGAGGTGAAGACCAACCAGTCGTGGTCCTCAGTGTGTGAAAAAGACTTTGACCTGCAGGATGCACAGGTGGTCTGCAGGGAGATTGGCTGTGGGCCTCCTTCAGTCCTCCAGGGGGCGCTCTATGGAGAAGCAGAGGCTCCAGTGGGGAGCAGAGAGTTCCTATGTGAAGGCAGTGAGTCTGCTCTGCTGAACTGCAGCAGCAGGAAGAGTTCAGGTAGAAACAGCTGCTCACCTGGTCAAGCTGTAGGACTCACCTGTTCAGGTAGAGGAGGATCTGCAGACCTGCTGCTGTTCACTGCTTCACTTCCTTCATTAATCAACTCTCTGTCTCTGCTCAGATCAAGACAACATCAGGTTGGTGGGAGAGGCCAGTCGATGTGCCGGGAGACTGGAGATGTTCCATCAAGAAGAGTGGAGACCAGTATATGTTTGGGATCCTTACTTGAACATGAACTCAGGGCCTGCAGTTTGTGCTGAACTGGACTGTGGTTCTGCTGTTTCAGCAAGATATTCATTTGAAGCTTCAGAGAGACCAGTTTGGAGGATCTGGTCTGACTGTTTTCAGTCAGGATCTGCATTAAAAAACTGTTTACCTGATGATAAAACCAGTGATCAGAGCCTTGAGATCATCTGCTCAGGTAAATCTGAACTCATATTTATATATTTTAAAATGTTTCTTCCATCAGGTTCCAGATGTTTAGAAACTAAAACTGGTTTAAATATTACTGACTTTACTGAATCATAAAGTTGTTAGTAATCATGTAGAAACATGCTAGTAACCATGGTAACCAGTCTATGATCAGCCATCTTGTTTTCCACCTCAGATCAGATCCAGTTGTCTCTGTGTTTCCTCTGCGTTGCCAGGTCTGCTGGTTGAGCCGCTCATCTTCCTCTCTTCCTCCACTGACGGGGTCTCCACAGGCAGAAAGCAGGGGTCTGAGCTCCTCATTGGCTCAGAGTTCAGCATCATGTGCTCCATCAGGCCTCAGTATGCAGGCGGCTCCTTCCAGCTCATCTTCAGCACCTCTAACTACACTCAGAACCAGACCCTGCCAGCTGTTAATCACTCCGCCCTCTTCCTGTTCGCTGCTGCTGGCCACGCCCACCAAGGAACCTACCGCTGCCTTTACCACGTCTACGTTTTCTCCCATAACTTCTGGTCTATGAGCCAGCCTCTCAACCTCACTGTCTCAGATAAACTCATGGAGTCCATCAGGAGAAGTTCTGCTTCAGGTGAACCAGCAGCTGTCTGCCTCATTCATGAGGTCAGAGAGGAGGATTGATTATATTAATGTTCATGATCTACAGGCAGCATGAAAACCAGGGTCTATGTGATTATTGTTCATTTCTAGCTGGACTCATCTGATGAAAGCTGATCCTGAATCTGTTTCATTCATTTTCAGCCCATCTCACTGCTTTGATCATCAGACTGGTTGTCGTCCTGCTGGGAATGCTGGGAATGCTGGGATCCGTCCTGCTCCTCAACTATAAGGTACTGCATGTATCATGCATGATGTGTTGAGTTGGGAAAGTTGTTGCCTTGCAGCTGAACCATCCTCTGTTTCCAGGCCAGGAGAAACCAGAAGTCTGGACCAGAAAACATCATGATGAACGTTCTTGATGAAGGATCCAGAGCTGAAGGCGGCTTAGAGGAGGAGGCTGCAGTCTGAAGGAACCAGGAGAAAATCATCTTGGTTTCACATCCACAGGAAGGAGCAGAGACACGTTTCAGACTCCTGGGAATCTGTCCGTCTATGTATCTATAATAAAATGTCTCTGAGCTCCTGCAGCAGGAAGGAAGTTCAACATTCAGAAATTTGCATCTGGACTAAACCTACAGAAGTAAAACTTATATAAGAAGGGAAAAGAAAACATCCACCAAACAAAATATAACAAAAACCCACTTGATCAAAATCTGATCATCAACCTTGCAAGGATAGCATATGATAGGACATTTGGGGTCAAAGGTTAGGCAGCCATTTCCATTCAGGCCCTGAATCCAGCTTGTGTCCTTGTCTTGGTTGGGGTTATGAAGCTATGGCAAGCCGTTTCAACATAAATTTGGTTTCGTCTGACTATCCGTAATTAAGTTCTAGATATCTAAAAATGCATTTTGACTATCCGGAATAATAATTCTAGATATCTGCATTTACATTCTGACTGGAGAGAATAATAATTCAAGATATCTTTTTTAATTACACTGATGATCAAAATTCATTTCAAGATATCTCAAATTTCAGTGGATGTAATTTGATGAATTTGATATGAATTTCAGATATCTGAATTAAGAAGACCCTTTGTGGTGTCCAAACAGTTGCCTGCATTATTTTATATTTCCTGCACAAAATTGTCCATAAATGCCACAAATTAGAAAAAGCTCAGCAATGTTGGAAATGTGGAGAACATAAAACTTCATAAACTATAAGACTGCTAATGATATCTGCAAAAAAATCCTGTGTATTTATTTCCGACGAACCAAATTCACTTAAAAACAGCTTTGAAAAGCTAAAATTGCTGTCAATCCATTTTCAAACATCTTTTTTCATTTTTGTGTTTTTTATTGTTTCATTAAACTTTCAAATTTCCACGTAAATCAGTGACATTTTGACTAGACCGAATGTTCATTTTTATATATTTAAATAGAAAAGTTGAATAATTCAAGATTTCTCTAATTTATTTACTTGTAAGATATCTAGAATTTAATTTCCTCTAGTCAAAACGACATTTCTCCTATCCAAAAATACATTTAAGATATCTTGAATTATGGACTAAATAGAGATATCTTTGATTTGAATTATGACTAGTCAAAACTACAATCCAGATATCTTGAATTTACTTTCTGACTAGTCATAATTAAATTGTAGAGATCTGAAATGTGTATTTCAGATAGTCAGTAATTCATTGTAAATATCTTGAATTGAAGTCTCCATACATCTCAAAGGTAAATCTGACATAATTTCTTCTAGTCAAAATATAATTAGAGATTTCTTAAATTGCTAAAACGTCTAGTCATAAACTATTGAGATATTTGGAATGAAAGGCTGGAAAACTGAATCTTCTTTAGCTGTTTCTCTGAACTCTGTATAATTATAAAGTTGTAGAATATTTTCTTTTTTGCATTCTTAGAATTAGAATTAGAATAAGAATTCAACTTTATTGTCATTGCACTGTCGCATGTACAAGCAACAAAATGTAGTTTGCATCTATCCAGAAGTGCTATATTGGATATAAATATTTATAAACAGTTGTACAAGATATAAACAGAGAATAATGACGTGCTATAAATGTTTTGTACAATATAAACATAAATATGAGAGCTATGTACATATTATACAAATTACCAGGATTGTACAGAATATACAAGAATAGAAATTTCGTTGAATCCTGTTCAATGACAATAAATGCTATTCTATTCTATTCTATTCTATTCTATTCTATTCTATTCTAAATGGATTGTGTATATATATATTAGTTGTCTTATAGTACAGGATAATTCTTATGACATCCTTAAATGTTTAATATGCTTTATGAAAGAAAATGCGTTTGCTTGCAGTCTGTTTTGTAGCTCAGTAGATTGTTAAACTGTGAGGATGGAATGAAACCTTTCCTATCAAACAGTTTGCTGTGTTTTGCTCGAGGCTCTTTCTCCTGACTGTGTTCAGTGAGCAGAGACTCCAAATGCTGTAAAGCCTTCAAATAAATATTGACAAAGAATTGATATATTCTCTCTGGTTTTTGATCGTTTTTCCTCAGTCTGTTAAAGATCATTTCAACCCAAACAGGATCCAATGAGGTTGAGGGCAACAGGAGATCAGATGCATCCACCAGCCTAAGTAGTTAAACTTCAGTCCACTTCCTGGGTCAGGTGTGGGCAACTCCAGGCCTCCAGGGTCTCCTGCAACTTTTAGAGAATCTCTACTTCAACACCTGAGTCAAATAATGAGGTCATTAGCAGGATTCTGGAGAACTTGCCTGCACTTAGGAGGTGATTGGCCCATTGGATCAAAGTGTGTTGGGTGACGTCTAAGAGTTGCAGGACACCGGCCCTCCAGGACCAGGATTGCTCATCATGTCCTGGTTGAATGAGGGGAGCCTGAAGTCTCGTTCCCAGACCTTCTGACTGACAGGATCCATAAGAAGCTCAATAATTTGCATCACTGGGTGAAAAATTGTTTCAAACTTTTACTGGGATCAGCTAAATGTATTTTTACAAGCACAGGGTCAGGCTGTGGTTGAACCAAAATTAATGTTAAAAGTTAAAATAAACTCCAGCTGGGGAGCAAAATATAACGATCTCAAATGTAACTACTGGCTGGTTTTAGCGTTTCTGTACCTTTAAGGAAAGAAAGCTCCTGGAGAAACATCTCATGAAATAAAACAGCCTTCCATTGGGCTATAGAGACACAAATGAATAAGCATTTATTTCTATGGCTCTACAAACTGGTCAAGAGTTTGTTACTCCTCTCATTTATCAACAGCTATGTTTGTGCTCCAAACATAGGAGTTATACATCTGGGAGGCCAAGTACATATTCCTGCTCATTTCACATGATGCAAGTCATCCCTGCTTGGAGCATCACCTGCATTTTGTACAACCAATGCACACATAAGTAATGACATTTGTATAAAACAGAAAAGTGAACTGCTCTAGAAGACAACTCTTTCACTGCACCAGAGAAATGCAAGGAAGCAGATTGTCACCTAATGGGGGAACAATGCTGCACTTTTATTCCTGTAACATTTTGAGCAACATTCACCACGAATTGGGTCAATTATTAAAACGACAACAAAAGGATAATTCTAGTTCCACTCTGTGGGGACGGTTTTGATTGTGATGTTGTCCTTGTGGTTAAATCAATGGTGACCAATCAGATTTCAGCCACTATGATAAACCTGCTGGTTTCTCCATTAACCTCATGAAACTGATGATTTTCTCAAGGAAGATGAAGATAGTTTCTAGGAGTAAATCCTCTGAAGTGATGTGAAAACTTAAACTGTGAGGAGCGTTTCTGCTGATGAATTATATCGGCTGTCATTAACTATGGTGTGGTAACTACATCTGAATATTGTTTTAAGTCTCATCACATTAAATCAGTGGCTTCATTGTTTGACATTTGATGATTTTCCTTGATTTGTGTTTCTTCAAATAAAAACTTCCCCGTTTATTTGGCAGATTATTGTGCATCATTTTCTTGATCCTATTTTTTATCATTATTTTAGGTTAAACTTTTCTAATATGAAACGAGGGGAAATATGCATCAATGCATAACAGTTTTATGATTCTCGTGTAATACAGGCGTATTCTCCAGCGTTTTCTCTGACCTCTACATGACAATCAGCTTATTAAATTGCTTGTCTGTGTTGGATGCTGGAGTTGTAGGGAGCTGTTTTGTCCACCAGAGGGAGCCATGGGGAGCCTTCTGGAGAAGGGTGGTTCCCCGCGCCACCTGTACCTTGTTGGCCTCATCAACGCCTGCATTAGAGGAGCGGGTGACCGGTTCTCCAGCGCCCGAGTGTTTACCGACTTTGGTACCCAGAGCCCACTAAGTCTATTTTCTGAGAAATTATCTCCGTTCCCTGCTGACTCAAGTTTTTTGTTGTGATTCTCTCTGACCTCTTGCAGCATCTGGAGAAGATCCGCTCCTGACTGCCAGCTCGCCCTCCGACGGGTGATCTGTCACCCCTGATCCCTTCGGCTCCCAAAACCCGGACTGCACCCTCTTTAGTTCAAGAACCCAGGCTCCCGCATCCCAACCTTTCCCTCCATGGCGGATTCACTTCATCTCCCCCAGTAAACCCGTTCCAGTTCTCGTTTCTCCTGTTCTCACTCCCCACTGACCTTTCATCTTCCCCAGCCCTCAGATCACAGAGGATCCAGATCCCGTGGCCCTCAGAGAGACATACTTTCACCCTATCACCACTCTGTCTTTTAAAAGAAAGAAAATAAATTTTTATTTATCTGATTCCTCCCTCTCTTGTTTGTGTTTCTGCATGTGGGTTAAGCGAGTGGCCTCCAACATGACAGTCTGCTATGCATCTTCATGTTGACCTTGATTATTTAATTTGCCTTATGAAGGAAAATACATATATTTTCAGTCAGTTTTTTTTGGACTAACTAGATTGTCAAACTATGTGAATTGAATGAAACCCTTCCTATAAAACTGGACCCTGTGTTCTGCTCCAGGCTCTTTCTCCTCACTGTTGTTAATTTCCACAACACAAGGAATAAAGATTATTTTACTCTCCCACCATGCAAGAGGAAGGATAGAAATATATATATTTTTAAAGAAATAAAATGTAGAACTCATTTCCTTAATCTGTTATAAATATTAGAGCTTTAAATAGTTTAATTATTTTATTACATAGTCTTCTAATTGTGCATTTATGAAATAGTATGCTATGTTTCTAATATTGTAATGAAGAGGCCTTCATTACTGAATTAATTTATTCAATGTATTGTATAGCACTGTAAAAACATTTGCACTTTCTCACTATGCACTTTATTTAGCACTGCACTTTTAAAGTAGATCTATAAATTAATAACATTTTGCACTCAGGAAGTTTTAATTGTATTTATTGAGTATTTTAGGGATTGGTGTGTAGCCTTTGTTCTGGGCTCTGCACAGCTGCTCCTCATTGGCCAGTGGAGGTGGTTAACTGTGAAGAGAGGAGAATTGATATTCAGAGCAATGAGCTATTGGTGGATAAAACTAAATAAATGATGTGCATAATTTATTAGGTATGGAATGTGCTAATATAGTGACTCACCTGTCTTTTTATGTGTCCTCTCAGGATGTTTGGACAAATATTGTCCTAAGGGGCTGGACAATGATATAGGTCCTGGGAGAGACCATTGAGAAGAATGGGAGAGGGGTGTATTGTTTTATGGTGTTTTAGTAAGGGTAAGGATAAAACATAAAAAATATTTATAAAAAGGAAGTTGATGTGGTTGTAGTTAAATGTTTTTATTCAATTAAGGGGAACAGGGTAAGATGGGATTATCTTATGAATTTTCAGATTGTTT